AATCACTCCAACTTATGATCACTCAATGATCAAGAGTTTTCAAGATTAATCTCGCATAAGGTGGATTGTACTCGATGTGAAGGTGATGGATAGGGATTGACTCGCTCAATCAGTTGACAAATGAAGGATGTTGAATCACTCAACAAACACTTGGAATGTACACTCCACTCATTTAGAGAACACTAGGAAGAAAAATCATCCCCAAAGCTTTCCATATGAAGAAGATATGGAAGTTACAATCTGGCAGACTACCAATGGACCCAGTGGAGATCTACGGCCACTCATTGAAGCATTCCGACCAAAACAGGAGGAATCATTCAGCAAATCCACTTGTTTTGGATTCTCAACTCATCTGATGCACGCAGCGAGTTGGATTCATACCAAAATTCATTATGATTTAAAAGTTATTCAACTTCTAAACCGGAGGATTCTCTGCTTACCTTATTTGGAAGCTCATGGATTTAAACACTTACAAACAAGACTTTGGCGAGATATCAAATCATTCAAAAGAAAAATCTAACCATCTAGGAGAGTACAATAACATTTTTCCATACACCAACAACCACATAATCATCCCCTTGTTTTCAAACTTACCATATCTAGAAGCATTCACACTTGGTGCCATAAATCATCAACGGCTAATTCCTCTATGCTGCTGCGTTTTGGAGGTTCACTCATGCCCAAACTCTCAAGAATCAAGCATCATCACAACTTACCTTAATTGGCATGCCCAAACTCTCAAGAATCAAGCATCATCACAACTTACTTTAATTGGCCAGATTTCACATTAAAAACCCAACGGTTAGTTTTTCTTTTAATTATGTGATTTGGTTTCTTATTTTAGGCTATTAGAACGTTTTAAGTGAGCATATAAAAGCCTAGCTCTTGATTCATTGTAAAACACCTTTCAATCTAATTAATACAAAGCTTTCGTTTTTCTTCTAAAGTTGTGGTCTTGAAGAATAGTTCTTGTTCTTTTGAATACAAGTGTGTGATTCACTTCTATTCTTTAGAAGCCACGAATTTAGGTTCTTTGTGTGATTCAGAAAAATTGGTTCGTTCACCGATTGAGAAAGTCAATCAACCCCTTTCACCATCAATTTCTATTATCACCCACTTCCACCAAAGCTTTGTTATCTTTGACAACCGTGTGATCGCTAAGAAAAAGGAGTACACTCCACCTTCCACAAGATTAATCTTGGAAACTTATGATCACTCAATGATCAAGAGTTTCCAAGCTTAATCTTGCGGAAGGTGGATTGTACTCGATGTGGAAGTGACATATAGGGATTTACTTGCTCTGGACAAATGAAGGATGTTGAATCACTCAATAAACCTAATCCACTGGTTTTCAGTAGAACTAAGTGAATCACACACTTAAGAACTAAAGAACAAACAACACAGAAAACTCGAACTTTGTGAAAGACAAAACGATTTCTATTACTTTTAATCTGATAAAGAGTGATTTATACAATAGACTAATGGAGCTTATATAGGCTCTGAAGTGAAGCTATCCTAACGTTCTAAAATTTTAAACAAAGTAACAAATGAATCAAACTTATTGCATATGGTCGTTGGAGGCTTTATGACATAATCGCCTAAGTAGGGAAAGTTGATGATGCCTGAGTCTTGAAAGCTTGAGCATGAACGTGTGATGTATTGGGACGTCTAGGTGCATTGTATCAAGCTTCAAAATGGAGAAGCTTTGATAGGGAAGGAGGCATTGGTGTTTTAATAGCCTATGTGTGAACACGTCCAAATAAGGCAAGTTGAGATGTAAGAAGATTTGCCTAATCCTCTGAGTGCTGGACCATTGTAGGGAATTTGGAGAACCTTCTAGATCAACATAAAGGTCTCCTGGTCGTCACAAATATGTTTGATCTTGACCAAACTCGTGAAACTCTAAATAAGGAAAGCCGAAAAACCATTGGTTTAGAAATTGAATAACGTTCAAACCAAAACAGATCTTGGTATGATTCCAATTCTCCCGGAGTCTCTGATGAATCCATATTCCAGAACAAGTGGGATCATAGCTTAGGTCCTCCTGGTTAGGTCATAAGTCTCTAATTAAGGCGCATATGTCCAAATTGGGTAAGTTGGAGATTATTCGATTTGCAAACTGAATAACTCCTCCGTCTGAACTACAAATTGGTTGATTCCACTTCGAGGCATTCTCTAGGTTAGTTGAGAATGTTTTCCAAGTTTTCTCATGCTTTGAATCTTCGTGGTTGTAATGCCCCGGTTACAAGGGTAAAATTAGGTTGAGGAATTCTTCAGTGGGGTCGTAGAGTTGCCGTGGGTCAAAAACCGATTGGACAAGTATTTTGGTCGAAAACCATAGGTAGGCACCTCGGTGACTAAGCAGTGTGCTAACTTAGGGTGTGTGTGGACGCCCAAGTGATTCACCTCCTTAGACTTGTCATCGCCACATGTCGCGCCGGAGGATCAGATCGGTGTCTCGGCGGCGACACATGGCCGGTGACACCTTAAGGTGCTTCACCTCCTTAGGGACGGCCTATATAAACCCCCATCCCAACCTAGTTAGTAGTACACACTAAACCGCTGACCATAGTTCGTTCGTACCAGCCGTTCACCGCAAATCTTTATCGAGCATTTTGTCGAGAAAATTTAGGGTAAGCCTTCCAAATCCGAATCCTTCCCTATCCAACTAGATCTTTTGTTCTGAGTCCGAATTTAATGTCCGTTTTATGATTAGAGATTATACATATCCAAAGATCAGATTCGAACCTAAGTCACCGTGAACCCTAGACGATCATAGCTTAGCCTTCTTCAAGCTAAGGTGAGTCTCGGCGTTGATGTGTGTCCTTACTGCAAAGCAAGTAGAGTGTTA